ACCTTGCGTATCATCTAAATCCTCTTGCACAATCCCTATCAAGCACCACCAATCCTTACAATCCTCCAAGAACGTTAAAATGGCAGTGGCCCCACTACCTTTTGTATATTGGAGTTCTAGCAATTGTCATATTCTCCACTCAATACATGAGTATGTGTGGCTAAAGCGCTCTGGGTCAATCTCCGCTGGCTTTATTACCGGTGATGCGGACGAGAGAGTAGCGTAGAGATCTCTTAGAGTCTTGCTTTTCCAACCATAATTGGATAGACAAGCCTGCATCGGAGTTCCTTCCTCTGATTGTAAATAGTATATACAGGAATATGTGTGTTTTTTGCTTTTTTTTTTAATTTCCGTATTTTTAAGTTATTTGATTTTTTTATTGTATATACTTTTTGATTATTATTTAGTTTTTATTTTGCTTTTGTTTATTTTATGTTTTATTTATATATGATGTCAATGTGTTCATATCTCACTATAATTGTTGTCCGTGTCACAGATTGTTATATTTCTGAATAAATAAATAAAAAGAAAATTCCATTGTAGATATATTTATTTATTGTATGCGAGTATTGTGTGGACGCTGATGAGTTCCTCAGGATTGTTCGTTATTAATAATTGTTTATGTGGATTGTCATTATTGATAGAATTAAACAAATTTAGAATTTTTTCTCTTTATTCTCCACAGGCATATTTCATAATTATATGCTGGAGGGTTTCTATCTGGTTACATTTATCACATTTAGATGATTTTTTAATACCAATACGCAACAGGAATACTTTCTATAAACTATGATTTAATCTAATTGTAAGTCCATACAATGTTATGATCAAAATTAAAGAAATAAAATTGTAAAAATATGCTATATAAAATATTTTTCAATAATTTATGTTATTTAATGCTTGACCTAGATGTGTATAAGAAGGGTAAATTTCAAGAGGAATATGCCAGAGAAACTGCCTTAAGCCCCAGAATGCGAGATAAGAAAGCCCAAAATGGCGGGAACTTCGCGACTTGATTTATCGGGACTTAAATGATCTTCCTAGTCCGGCCATGCCCTCGAATTACAGTCAAGGATTTCCTGCTTCAGGTTCCGATTCCTCTACCTCAGGTGTAAATATTTTTCTTTACCAAAAAATATTATTATGAATTTTATTATTAAATTTTTTAATAAACAAGTAATATACCTTAATCAAATAAGATACCTTGGTTTCTTATTGAAACCGGAGGTAAAGAAGAGCGGTGGAAAAAGTAAAGAGTAGCATACATCCTGTCTGGATTAACTGAGAGGAAATCCATGGATTAGATGACGGTATAAAAGCATTTCAGTCTAAAATTGAGGCATTAAGGTGCGTTTAGACATTTCAACAACTATGGGAAATACAAATACCTAATTGGTTGTTAATAATAGAAATACAAATACATTATGCTAGTGTTTAGTTTCTCGTCTTCGATGTTTTCCATCTGCTCGGTAAAAAAGGAAAATAAAAAAAACAACTAAGGGTTGTGCTTTAGATCACACGATAGAAGAGAAAACGTCAACATGGCGAGATTAACAAAATAAAATTTAAATTATAAATAATAGCTCATTATAAAGAGGAAGAAATGTTGATAATTCTCCTTGCTGACAGTAAGCAGGTCCAATTTTTAGTTTATGAGAAATTTCAATCCATATGTTCTATAAAATTCGTTATCATTTGGTTTTTGACACTATGTTTTCCTTTTCGCCTTTCGAACATGGAGTCGCGTTAAGATATAATTTAATAATAGTACAATATAGAGAGGATGAAATGCTGAACGTTCCCCTCGCTTACAGTATGCAGGTCCGAATTTTTAGTTTCAGAGATATTTTAATCCATATCATCCAAAAAGCTCGGTATCATTTGGTTTTCGATACTATTTTTTCCTTTTTGTATCTCTAAGACGGCGTCGCGCTAACAATTGCTAATAATAGCTCATTTCAAAGAGGACAAAATAATGAACACTCCCCTCCCTAATAATGTGCAGATCCCATTTTTTGAAATATTTTAATCCACATGCAAAAACAATTCAATTAGTCGACTCCAACCGACTTTACTCGAGCGTTACACATCGATTCAAGTCGAAAGCAAATGGGTATTTAAACGTTTTTAGTACCTGATTAAATAGGCAAAACTTGTCGATCTCCAGATTGAAAACGCCCGAATTCCCGTAAATAAATTTTCGTAAATAAAATAGTTGTAGGTTACGATGTGATGAAGCTATTTACGAAGTTTCAGGCGGATGTTAATAATTTGTTAGGAAGGCACCACGGACTATTACCTATTTTCTTTATTAGAAGATTAACATTTAAATTTTTGTTAAATGCAGTCCTTTCAGCGATATAATTGCTACAGATGGGTGATTTTTTTTCTTTAATAGAAAAAAAATGTTTTTGAAAATATATATATATTTTTTAATACAACATAAATTCGAAAAAAAAAACAGGGTACAAAACAGATACTAAAGCTTTTAAATAAAAATAAATACCCAATCACTTTGTATAAGAGATACCAAAACGACTAAGGACATTGAAGGAATATTTCTTTCTTTTTTTTTTTTAATCCTCTTATTAAAGTACACAAATTCCTGTCCGGGGCGAAAATTGCGTAAAACAAATCTGCCTAAAAAAATATTGATTTCATGTTAGAAGACGAAGGTAAAAAGAAAATTGGATTTGAACCGAAAATACCTGAAACCCTATACTAGCCGTAACCTCAGCCCCAACAGCTTTTGCCTTTTCATTCAATCAGCCGAAAACGGACAGTGGTCTTTAATGGAATTACTTCACAGATTTGTACACTAGAAATATGTCAACGTTAATTTAAGAGAAAAAAAAAAGGTGTAAGGTACATAAAAAATAATTTGTAAAACAGTATAATTAAAATAATTTAATATTTAAAAAATAAAAATAATATAATACTGATGTAATACAATAAGATAATACAACTCGAATATTACTGCGAAAAAATAGAATGCAGGCGTCACGCAAAACGCCCGGTTGACCGTGGAACGTGACCACATTCAACGCGTGCGATTTCTGAGTTTACTCAACGGATGTTGGTTAATGAAAAATAAAAGATGATTGGTTACTCCATTTTTTTTTCACTTAAAATAAACGGCTCTGAAAGTAACTAAGATTCGTTTTTTTTTTTTTTTTCCTAGAAGTAAATTTTTCTAAAATAAAATATTGTACAAACAGAGAAAGAAAAATCGTATAACTCATATCACAGTCATTAGGTTAAAATGTCTATTCATATAATATTACATTTTATATTTAATTTAATTTAGCAAAAATACAATATTAAGTTTTACGTACAACTCTGGAGGGTGATTCTCGACAAAATTTCCAAAACAAAAATTTATTTGATGGATGGGCCGATTCCGAACTAGTGTTGTCCAAAATCGGTCTTGGTCTTGCACTTTGCAAGACCAAGACCAAGGCCGCCTAACTGTTGCAATACCAGTACTGGTCACAGTCGTGCTTCAGCTGTCGTCGGGTTCACATCGCGGATGGTGCTTTTTGAAGTTGCGGCATCTCTGAAGTTAGGATTAACTATAGCTCCTTGTGTAGTTGCCGCCGCCTCGTGTCTGGTTTCCAGGGACAGATAAGCTTGCTATTTTTCTTACCTACTTTACAAATATTTCTTAACTTACTTATTCAATAATCTTATTAATTGTTTATTTAAATCATTTCATTTCCGTAATATTCTTAGTTTAGTGACTTATATTCTATATTATATAATTACATATTTCTATATTTTTTAAATTTACCTATTAGTATTAAGTTATATTAGTTATATTAGTTATTTAGTTATATAGTTATATTAGTATTAAGTTAGCTTGTAATAGTTAATTGAAATGTAGTTTAGGGTTATTTAATTTATACTAATTTAAAACTAATACTTCTCCTCTACTATCATTTTATAAACATTCTTATTCTATATATCCTTTAGTAATTTTCTGCCTTTCTTATATTGTAATATGGAGGTACCTCCTGGTCCTCCCGATCTATCTACCGTCCTAACCAAAAAGAGAAAATGGGCTCGCCCTAAAATTAAATTCCCTCCGGACAAAATCATTCCGCAAATCAGAGATACAACTCCAACATATCTTGTTGCTAAACGATCCGATCAAGAAGACTTTAAAAAAACCTCGCCATTTTTTATTCAAAAGGTGATCGCTCAGTTAGCAGGTGATGTTAAAGCAGTAAAAAAGTTAAGAGACGGTTGTTTATTGATACAAACACTCAATGGACAACAATCAAACAGACTTTTATCCGTTACAGACTTTGGAGGCCAAATGAAAGTTGAAATAACACCGCATAAAACTTTGAACTATAGTAAGGGCGTTATCCGTTGCTATGACTTCCAATACATGGACCTACAGGAAATAAAGAACGAATTAACTCCGATAATAAAAGATATTGTCAGGATAAAATCAAAACGGAATGGTAATGAAATACTTACACATAACTATATAGTTACCTTTCCAACACCTTTACCTCCAGAAACATTACAAATTGGATACGAAACAGTTAGAGTACAGCCTTACGTACCGAATCCGTTACGATGTTTTAACTGCCTAGGATTCTCTCATCCGACATCACAATGCAAAAAAGAATCAGTATGCGTACAATGCGGCCAGGGAAGGCATGGAGAAAATATAAGGTGTAATTTGCCGGCTAAATGCATAAATTGCAATGGTCCTCATAATGCCCTAGATCGGTCCTGTACCGAGTTTAAAATACAAAAGGAAATAAAAGCCATACAAATCAATAATAAAATATCACTTTACGAAGCAAAAAACATGTATAGAGAAAAAAATCCCATCCAGTTAAATAAAACATTCGCGGAAATAGCAAAAAATCAAAATAATACAAACAGAAAAGTAGATGTTGCCACTCAGGCTGATATTCTGTACTCTTTCTCAGTTACTTCAACAAACTCACAGATAAATAAACCCAATGAGATTATCTCTCCTGATGTCCAGGCCACACCAGCTATCTCTGATCGAGAGACTGCTCGACCACAGTCAACCGAAGTTGACAGCCCCGCGCCTACCCAGACTGATCCCCTCCTCCCCTCCTCTTCTTCCCACTCATCTACCCTCCCTGCCTCTACTTCCTCTCTCTCCTCCTCCTCTTCGTCTTTCCCTTCTGCCCCTCTCCCCAACTCTTCCTCCCTCTCTTCTCCTACCCTCTCCACCTCCCTTACAAATCTCCAATCCCCCAATCCCGATCTCGCTACACCACCAGACGATAAATCTGCTGAAAATGCTGTAGATGGGGAAGGATATACCCTACAAAAGAAAAAAGGAAGACCCCGAAAAAAATCCCCAAATAAAACAAATAATAAATAAAATAGCCGACAACTAAATTACAAATATCATCTTCAAATATGTTAATATATGTTTTTTCTATTCTATACCGTAACTAAATCATGACCCTAATCCAGTGGAATTGCAATGGTATTAAAAGTCACTTCAACGATTTGAAGCTAATAATGGAAGATGAAGATCCTTTTTGTATATGCCTCCAAGAAACGCACCTAAAGCCTTCAAACGAATTCACCCTTAAAGGCTTCAATATCTATAGGACAGATTGTGGTCCAGATTACGAGCGAGCGTGTAGAGGCGTAGCCATAGCCGTAAAAGATACCGTTTATTCCCACCCAGTAGAAATAGATTCCCCACTTCAAGTAATAGCTGTTACAGTTCATTTAAACACAACATTCACAATTTGCAACATTTATCTCCCCCAAGACAATACTATAGAGACAGAACACCTTCTCCATATTCATAGGCAGTTGACAAAGCCAATTTTGTACACTGGAGATTTCAATGGCCACAACCCATTATGGGGCTCACAAGACACAAATCCTAGAGGTCGCATTATAGAAACTTTCTTAGATTTAACGAATACTCTGTTACTAAACTCCGGCGAAGCAACATACGTAAGTTCTAGCTTTGGTACATTTTCATCCATTGATCTCTCCTTATGCACTTACTCACTGATTGATAATATAGAATGGACAGTTCTACCAGAGCCTTATGGAAGTGACCATTTCCCAATTCGTCTAAAATTCAGAAGTGCAAACTGCAATAATTACAGCGTCCCTCGTTGGCTATTAGAAAAAGCAGATTGGTCACTATTCACGTCTTTAGCTGTCCCACCTCAAAATCATCCTAACAGTATGAATGTAGATGATGGGTGTAAATCTATAACTGAGACAATAGTTACGGCAGCAGAGTTCTCGATCCCTAAAACCAAAGGCCATTACAAAAGGACACCTGTCCCCTGGTTCGATAGTGATTGCAAGAAAGCCATACAACTTCGGAGAAATGCATTTAAGACATTTAAGAAAAATATGAATCAGGTTAATCACATTGAATATAAAAAACAAAGAGCTGTCTGCAGAAGAATTATAAATGACAAGAAAAAAGAATCATGGAAATCATTTGTTGAGTCCATTAACTCGTCTACCCCCTGCAACGTTGTATGGAACAAGATAAGGAAGATAAGAGGAACCAATTCTTCCTACAAATATACTCTGATATGCGATGGAAAACTATGCGATAACCCAGACATTGTTGGAAGAACATTTGCCGAATATTACTCAGAAGTTTACACAACGACTTCTAGAAATAATATGGCTCAAGATCTAAACTTCTCTGACGATAATGCATATCAAGATTACAACATTCCATTCAGCATGTGGGAACTCCAATCAATACTCCAAACTGTCAAAGGATCTTCACCAGGACCAGATAATATACACTACTCCATGATACAACATCTTCCGAAAAATACACTGAACTGGCTTTTAAATTTTTACAATCATATTTGGCTTAGCGGTAACTTCCCTAGCAGCTGGAACGACTCTATAGTTGTCCCGATATTGAAGGGTAATCAAGATAAACGTCATCCATCCAGCTACCGACCAATATTTTTAACCAGCTGTCTATGCAAAGTAATGGAACGAATGGTAAACAAGAGACTCACATGGATCCTAGAAAAATATCATCTCATCCAAAACTTCCAATGTGGTTTACGCAAAGGCAGATCAACTGTAGGCCACCTGGTTCAAATGGAAGCCGAATTACAGTATGCATTCATCCAAGAGGAGCAAGCTATTGCAGTTTACTTCGATATGAAAAAAGCCTTCGATAAAACTGACAAATTTGCTATCCTAAACAAAATACACTCGCTAGGATTCAGAGGTAACTTACCAAAATTTATTCAAGGATTCCTTTCTAGTCGCCGCTTTCGCGTCCGTATAGGGAAACTGTTATCCAAGCAATGTAGACAAGTGAGTGGAGTACCACAAGGATGCGTTTTAAGTACAACACTTTTCGCACTTGCGGTTAGTGACTTGGGAAAAAATCTTCCACGCGGAATCAAAGTAATGCTCTTTGTCGACGATCTTGCTATTCTATACAGAGCGAAAGATGTCCTATCTGTAAAAGATAAGCTCCAAGAAGCACTGAATCGTATTGATGGCTGGTCAAAGTCATCGGGACTTTGTTTCTCTTCTGAAAAAACTAAATGTATTCACTATAGCAGAAAACGAAATACTCCACAATCGCCAGAACTTCTCTTAGGTGACGCCATCTTACCATATGTCAACACCTGCAGATTCTTGGGATTATTATTTGATAAACGTCTATCCTGGGAACACCACATAAAATCACTCAAAGATACATGTACTAAAAAACTTCAGCTTCTGAGAATACTTAGTGGAGCTAACTGGGGAGCAGACAGAACTACCATGATTAAAGTATACCAAGCTCTGATCGGCGCAAAAATAGATTATGGTAGTTTTGTCTACGGTTCTGCCCGAAAAAATGCTCTAGCCAAGCTCGACTCCGTGCACCACACTGGAATACGCCTTGCAACTGGAGCCTTTAGAACAAGCCCAACCCTGAGCATTTGTGTCGAATCTGGCCTTATACCACTGCACTTTAGAAGACAGAAACTTGCAATAAACTATATTACTAAATTATACCCGCAAACTTCACACCCCTCCCATAAATATGTTTTTCAATCTAAATTCTCAAAAAGATTTAAAGAAAAAAGGAATACCACATTACCATTGGCAGAAAGAATGTCTCTTATTATAAATAAACTAAAACAAATAACATTACATGAAATAAAAAAAGAAACAGCCCCTTGGACCTATATACAACCTAAATTAAATCTCCAACTCACCCAATTCACCAAAGATACTACATTACCTGCAGATTACAAAGAAAAATTTCACAAAATAATCATCACGTTACCTGAACATCTTCTAATATTCACCGACGGATCCAAATCAGATACATCTACTGCTTCAGCCTTTATCACTCCTGATACTACCTACAAATATAAATTACACCATCTTTGTAGTGTTTACACAGCAGAGATTAACGCCGTAGCAATGAGTCTCCGATACGTCATGAAGAAGCCAGTTGCAAATGTGGTTGTTGTATCGGATTCCCTAAGTACTCTGAAAGCTATGAATAACATGTATCCAGACCATCCAGGGATACACTGCATTCTAAGTCTTATAAAAATGCTTCATGGAGTTGGAACAACGGCACATTTTATCTGGTCGCCTGGCCATATAGGAATTAAAGGAAATGAAATGGCTGATAGAGCAGCAAAGGAGGCTCTTACTCTTCCAGGCCGCGGTAAAGTTTTTTTGACACCATCTGAACTTGCACGACCTCTGAGAGAAACCATATACCAAGAATGGCAAAGACGGTGGGACAACAGCGCACCTAGCAAATTAAAAACAATAAAGAAAGAGGTGCAACCGTGGACCACCTCCAAACGCAGCAGTCGTAGAGAAGAGGTCGTCCTCACGCGGCTGAGGATCGGACATACTAGACTGACTCACCTCCACCTCATAACAAAAGATTCTATCCCTCGATGTCAAAAGTGTAACCAATCACTAACTATAAGACATATTTTGGAGGAATGCCCTTTTTACACCGCAAGATTAGAAGATTTTGGAATACCCCGGAATATATCAGCGTCCCTGGGAAATCAGGAAGAAATGGTTACCAAAGTCATCAAGTTTATGGATAGTGAAAGACTTAAAAAACACATTTGACAGACTTTTTTTTTTAAATTTATTAATTTCCTTTTTATCTATTTATTTTTATTATATTTTCTCTCTCTTTTTTTTTTTTTTTTTTTTTTTTTTTTTTTTTTTTTTTTTTATTGATTCTACTGCTATTTTTTAAAGTTTATTTATTTATACATTTTTTATACATCTTATTACCTATAAATGTCTATTATTATCCTTATTTATTTATTTTATTCTATCAATCCATTTCTTTATTTTTTTTGTCCTTTTTTTTTTATTTTTATTTTTTGTACCAACCATCCAAATAGTATTAAGTGATGTTATATAGTTGATCGGGCGCTTATGACCTGGATGTTTTGCGCCTAGACATCGAAACAAACAAACAAACAAACCAGTACTGGTAAGAGAAATCTATGTTTTTTAATAAGAAATAAGGCGAAATAGTTACTAATACTTGACAATCTTAGGTACTATATGTTAATAATTGGTATAACCAATATACTTTTGCATTTAACTCCTTTAATTTTTCATTCGGGCTTAGTTAGGTTTCTCATACCCCCACATCCCCATTCCCACACATATTATTACAGTAACGCTCGAAATCGGTTATGTACCAAATATAAGCTACTGGCGGGCAAAATAGTCCAGTCACCCCGAAAATTCAGCCAAACAAGTTATGAAAGAAAATAAACATTATTTGCGAATAACTAAAAACTTACTCACTTTTCCCTTGGTTATGCCCATGATTGTATAAAAGATTACTTAATTCCATACAAAAGGAATAAAAAATCATCGAAATCGGACAGTTTTTAGTAAAGATACAGCTTACTGAAATTTGTAAACAAGTTGGTTCTAAACAAAAATGAATATTTAAAATAATTTTTGTTTTCTTTTTCGATTATATTTATCGACAAAGTAACATTTGATTTCTTTATCGTTTGATACGTAGCATTATTTTATTTTCTTATTAATTTGGGATTTAATAACAATATGTTGTGCGAATTTTTCGCACGCGCCTACTAGTTTAAAAAAATACATTAATACCTTCACAGGAATAAGCTAATAAGTAACTGCAAGACTGTTGCGAGACTCTTGCGCAAGACCAAGACTGAGTTGCAAGACCAAGACTCGTCTCATAGATAATTTGATTGAAAGATAATTTGTATGTTTCTCTTAAGACAGTCACATTTTTTGTTGAATAAGAAGGAAT